TTTAAATAATTTTTTATTTAATTTATATTATAATTATTTTTTAAAATAAAATAAAAATAAATATATTTAATAATTTCTTAAAAAATACGTTGATAACTGGATTTAAACACTTAAATTTAAAATTAAATATACTAAAACTAAACTAAGCGAGTAGTAAGTGAATGACGTTTGAGGGGCCGAGACCCCTCAAGCCGAGTGAACACAGACAGATGTGACAAACGTTGGTTAGACCATTTTCGTCATTTACTTTACAAGTAAATTATTAATTGGTCCTGTATTTAGTAGATTAAAATTATTTTAGTTTTTTAATTTTTTATTGTTATAATTTTAGCATATAAAACTTCTAAAAATAAATTATATTAACTTATACTCTTAGAATATAAAATAAAAATAATTTTTTAATATTATTATTATTACAAAATTAAATTAAATTTTTATTTAATTAATTGTCTAGTTAAAATAATTTACATTACATTAATTATAAAATTAATATTAGGATTTAAATCTTTTATAATTTAAATTTGGAATTAGTATTTATCTATTATTTCCTAAAAATTAAGAAGAAACTTATCCTAAAACTACGTAATTTTAAGACCTGTTTGGCATAGTGGTTTCGGGGCAACGGTTTGTGGTTTTACCTAAACCACTAAATATAGGTGTTTGGTAAACTTATATATTTCGAAATCACTACAAACAAAGTGTTTAGTAAAATTTTTATTTAGTAATTTAGAGCTAGCAGATGACGGTTAGGGTCCAAACCCCTAGTAGTGGATTAAAAAACTAGTTTAAGGGCCTGTTTGGTACAACAGTTAAAATTTAGCGGATAGTGGATAGTATGTAGCGGATAGCAGATAATGGATAGTAGATAGTGGTAGCGGGTAGCGGATGGCGGTTAACGAATAGCGGATGGCAGATGGCAGATAGCGGAAAGTGAGTAGCGGATGGTAAATAGCAAATTCGATAAATATAACTGTTTGACTATACAATAGTTAGCAGTTGTTATTTAACATTAAATGATTAATAAGGACATGTTTAAAAA